TCTGTGTTTCCCAGGCCTGTGAGTACCCTAATGGGCCTGCTAGGGGACTCCTGCATATTGTCACAGCCAGGCCTAGAGTCTGAACCACAGCGGGATAGGTAAAGAAAAGAGTGAGGGACATCTCATAACATCTCACGACAGACATCTCATGCCACTGGAAACTTAGACCCCAGGGGTCAGATCTGGGCCATGTCCAGGCCCTGCCAGGGCTGATGGTACAGTCCTGGACAAGATCCAATCCCACCGGAGTCTCGGGACACAGCAGGGAAGGAGTCTGACGAAACCTCAGAAGCACTGATGTGAATGAATCTGGGCAAAGACTTTGTAGGTCTTGGTGTTAATGGGAATCAAGTCAGACCAGCAAAACTACCAGCCTGCAGGGCCTTTGGTCAGGCCAGCCTCTGAGTCCCTGTTCTTTCTTTCCTCATTGTGGGTCTAGGGGGTTTCTAAGGGATTGAAGGGTGTGTCTAAGTCATAGGCTCCCATGACAGGAGCGCAATTCTGTGGAGGGTGAATGGGGCCCGGAGATCTGAGAATTCACTTAAGCTCTGTCTTACTGTGCAAGCCCCAAATCTCAGTTTTCCCATTTGTAAAATGGGCATTGTGATCTTTGCCCCAGAGAATGGTCAAGGATGGCAAAGCACCATACGAATGTCAGTTATGAAAAGGCTAACCCTAACTAAGGCGCCTTGGGAAAGGGATGTTGGATTTGATATGTCATCAAATTTTCAAGGCTGGAGCTAGACTAATGGTATGAAACTTTTTCATAAAATTCACAAGGTCCTTTTCCAAAAGTCAGAGCTGGAACATAGGGCTGAAGGTCCCTAGGCCTCCAGCCACGATGCTGGTGAAAGCCCCGACCTTGTGTTTTTCATTCAGAATTCTCTGGCATTTACTCAACGGCTTGTGTCCTGCAGAACCGTTCTCTCTGAGCTCCCGGGCAGCTCAACCAGCGCGGGAACTCTGAGCTGGGGAGAGCAGGTACATGTGTGAGAACATGCGTGTGCGTCCATGTGCTCTTGTGCTTCTGCCTGGCAGTCCAGGAATCAAGTGCTTGTCTAATAAATACCAATGCGATCTGAAGACCAGCAGAGCTTCAGAGAGGAAAGGCATGGAGGGAGCTCATCACAGGGCAAGGAGAAAGAACAGTATGGGGCCAGATGGGCTTTAGTGTGCGCTTCAGGCTGTTGGTTCAGGGAAGGCTGACCTCCCAACAGCCTGAGACCACAAGGAGCGACAAGGATCCAAAGATGAGGATGCAAGAGGTCAAAGGCCTGACCCCATCACTTCCTAAGAAGGGAGGGAGGAAGGGAAGGAGGAAAGGAGAGGCCAGCTAACATACCTTCTCCTACCTTGTCTGGCAGGTAGAGGCTGGAGCTCGTTCATCCTGTTTTCAGAGGTGGGCTCTGCCCCAGCTGCCTCCTTTCTTTGCCCAGAAGGTTCCAAGATGGTGGGTGTGCCTGCAGTGAGCTCACTGGCTCCACTTCTGCCCTGGGTGCTGGGCTCCCTCAGCAGTGCTAACAGCCCAGGACACTCCATCTGTGGCAGTGGACCCAGAGCAACCTCCCACTGCCCTCACTCTCAACTGCCCTCCCCAAGGATGGGAGGATCACCTTGTTCCTGGGGTCAGGGGGCTGAATGCCAGCTCCACCTCTGCCAGTCACTGCTTGGGGACTCCACCTTGTTGAGCCTCAGTTTCCTCTTCTGTCCTACCGCCTCGTAGGATGTTGGGGAGAAAACACTTGGTGGTGGCCAGAGGAGGTCTGTTCTATCTCCCTGCATGGTCCTGGGCTTCCCCAAACGGGGCCTCAGTTTCCCCTGAGGGAAGTTGGACTAGGTCTTCCCCAAGGCTGATTCCCACGCCTCTGGGTGTTCTTATTTCCTATTTGGTCCAAATATTAGCAGGACTCGGGTGCCCACCCTGTATGGTTGCTCAGAAATGGAAGACATGCCCCAGATGACTCTGTTACAGCCCCAGCATCCTGGGAAAGAGGAAGGCAAGGAGAGAGCTGTAGGATGACCCTGCAGGTGACCCTGCTATACCAAGGCAGCTGAGGCTCAGAGAGGTGAACGTCTTGTCTGAGGTCCCACAGCAAGGAAAAGGTACGGCCAGGACAAGACCTCTCAGGCCCAATAACGTCAAGTTCAGGCTCTCTCCACCCCAGCTCTTTGCCAATTTGGTGATGTGCCAACATTGGGGACACTGTCGCATGAGATGGCAACATCCATTGTTCTCACTGTAATTCAGCCCAGATTCGGGTAGTGCCTCACCTTGCTGTTCTGAGTTGGCAAAAGAAACTATTCAAGGAATTGAGGCCCTGGGAGAAGAGATGGTGGCCCCTGGTACCCCTATTTCAAAACCACTCCCAGTTCAGACACCAGTTCCTCACTGCCTGTCCTAATCTTCCCAGAAGGCCTTCCTCTGTCCCCTGCATCCTCCCAGGTGGGTTTTTCTGATCTCACCAGCCCACAGTGAGTTCTCCAAGCTCCCCTCTCCAGGCTCCTGGGGCCACTGGCCATGGCTCTGACCATCACAACCCCTTGCATCAATAGGTACGTACCCACTGTGCAAGGTTAGGCATCTGCTCCCACCCCAGCACCTCTATTCCCAGCTGCACACTAGGCTCCACGAGGGTGGGGAGGGGTTGATCAGGAAGTTCTGGCTGACTTCTGTAGGTGTTTGTGGTCCTTAGTGCAGGAAAGTCCTTTTTGTTAATCATTGTCTACATGGCAGGGACAGGCTTGCCCAGAATCCACTCTCTGGCATCCTGGAGGGTGGGAGAAATGTCCACGGTGGGTGTCCGGTGTGATATGAACCTGGGAATTCCTCAGAAAACACGTCCCAGTTCAGTTCAGTGGTTCCAGGGGCTTGGGGTTCCCGCCTAGGACTATGGTCTCCTGGGTCCTGTCCAGCCCTAGCATTCAAAGTCCGCAATGCAGTCAGCACCTTGGACAGCATCTTACTTTAGAGTAGTAGCTGAAGACTCTCCCAGACAGTTCTCTTGGAGTCCTTTGATATGGAAAAGAGCTGCTCACACTGCATTGGGCCCAGGGAAATGAAGTCAGGAAGCCAGGGCATCTCTCCAGAGTGTGTTTCTCCTGAGGAGGGTTCTCAGGGGGGAAGCTTGAAGCATAACTAGCCCAATGAGACTCCTAGTCCAGACGTTAAAGAAGTAGCAATGAGCAGGAGGCTGGGCCCTGAGGTGGGCATCCTTAGTCTCAAGGAAAACTCCAAGCCCACCCTTGGGGGGCAGCCAGAACAGAGGGGATACTCTGCACACAGGTCTAAGATTTCCTGTGACACATCAGGAGTAGTGGATGCATAATGGGTGGGCTGTCTGCTCAGCTGGACCCTCAGGCCCACAAAAAAGCAAGAAGGTATTTACATGGGTGCTGTTGAAGCGACAAAAGCAAGCTCTCCTTCCCAGGCCTGAGGCAGGAAGACAGGTGGATGGTCAGACAGCTGGGGACTGGCAGGCTAGGCTGGGGCTACAGTTGTCTGAAGAATAGTCTGTTGGTTTGCAGAGACCCAGCTGCTGTTGGGAGAAGCTCACTGATTGACTCTTAGAAATGGACGCATGTCTACAAGTCCAACAGCCTTACCATGGAACCCCAGAGTCCCTGGCAGGAAAAGGTTGGGAGGGAGTTTCAGGTGAGTGGGGGTTGCTGGGGGATGGTCTCGTTGGGCCCCTCTGGCCATCTTCAGAGGGGCTGAGAGGCTATCGCCCTCAGTGATATGTGTTATAAGTGCTTGGCGCCTGCCTGGCTCCGAGGGTCAGTGACGGTCATAGGCAGTGGCGGCTGCAGGTGGGGCAGCCCCTCGGGCAGCGGCGCTGTAATAGTATGGGGAGCCTGCGAGAGACAGAAGAGAGCACAGAGTTCAAGGGTGACCTCGTGCCCCATACCTGGGGTCCCCTTTCCACCAGTGTCCCCCACCCCTGCCCCTTCCTCCCTCCCAGCCAGTCCAGGCCAGTCTGTCCCAGTCTGTTCCCCAAATTGCAAACCTGATCAGGGTTGCTTCCTGCTCACAAGATTTCAAGGCCTCCTCACCGCCTAGAGCTGGAGTGGGCAGACTGGGGCCCTCAGGTCCAATCCTCCCTGCCGCCTATTTCAGTAAACAATGTTTTACTGGAACTCAGCCTTGCCCATTTGTTCCCTGTGTTGTCTGCGGATGCTCTCATGCAACTACAGAAGAGCTGAATATTGCAACTGAGACCACACAGGCTGCAAAGCCTTAAACTATTTACCATCCAGCCCTTGACAGAACGAGTTTGCCAATTTTGACCTAGAGGATGGAAAGTCATCACTTCTCAGTTTGCCCTGTGGATACGTCGGGACCTAGCTCCGCCCACCTCTCTGGATTTACCTCCTACAACCACTGCTTCCCACTCCACACCGCTCACACATCACACTCCGGTGGAATCAGACTCTGCAGGCATCTCACACAGACCCTAATGCTAATAGTAACTACCACTGGATGAGCATTTCTTCTGCCCCACACCGCAGTGTCCTTCACATGTGTTGTCTCACTTCAACCTCACTTCGGCCCATTTTATCATACTCTCTGCCCCTGTGCCTTTTCCCACCCTCTGCTTCCCGAAGCCCCTTGCCCTGAGCTCACACTCTGCCGCAGCCTGGGCCATGTGCTCTTATAACCTCTTCAGTTGCTTCTTCCTCTGCCCGTGGATAGAGAGCCCCACAAAGGCAGAGGCTGGACGCTGCTCTTCTTGGCGTCTTTCTTTAGTCCCCAGTGTGTAACCTGGCACGTGACATGTGCTCACAGCCAGGTTTGTTGAGTCAGTGAACAAAAGCACTGAGTAAACGAACAACAGTGAAGACCCCTGCCCGGTCATTCATTTATTTTCTGGCTCGACTGCAGCAAGGGGCAATGCTGCACAAATATCACACGCAGACCAATGTTCAGAGTCAGGAGGGGGATTTGAGCTCCGAGAGAAGAGCTCTGGGGAATTCAAGATTATTCTGGCAGGGTCAGGCTTCCTGGAGGATGTGGGTTGGACTGGGTTTGGAGGACAGGAAGATATGGACATGGGAAGACTGAGGTATGTGAGTACGTGGGAGAAGGGCCAGGTGCTGCCCATGACTTCCAGACAGAGCCAGTGTGAGGGCCAAGCTGGATTCCTCCCACTGTCTCTACATGTGACTACATGCCTTGGATGAGGCCTCCAGGAGGCTTATTCTGTGCCCTGACTCCTCCCCAGGGATGAAAGAGTCTGAGGGGAGTCCAGCAGATTCTCAGAACCACAAAGACTAGGCTGTTGCCTCCTTCTACAGATGAGGAAACTAAGCTCAACAAACCAAAACCATGTGCCCAAAGTCACAGGACCTCTCAGTGCCACCGCCTGGCCTGGATTCAGGACACTTTCCACCACAGTGCAATTCATGGCCTACACAATGCTGGAGGCTGTGTTTATCCAAGTGGACAGCAGTGGGGGTCCTCGTTGCCATCGTAGATCAATACATCTCTTGGGGTGGGAATAGTGAGCTTCTTAATTCCCCAAGGGAACCGGCCCATATTTATTCTGAAATCTCAGCCAAATCCAAACCAATCCTGGCAATTCTCCCGGATACCATAACTGAGCACCTAGGCCTGGAGGTGGCTAGTCAGGCTCTATCACTCTTGGCTGAGTGACCTTGAACAAGTGGCTTCACTCCCTTGTGCCTCATTTTTGTCATCTGTAAAAGGGGGTCACAATGGAGCTATATGAGGGTACCATGAGAAAAGGCTGTGAGAGTGCCTTGGAAATAGGCACTTTTCTAAGCCCTTTATAGCCATTAACTCTTTCCATTTCCAAAACCATTCCATCAGGGAGGAACTAGTATTGTCCCCGTGTAGTAGATGAGGGAACTGAGGCGCAGAGAGAATAAGCAGCTTCCCCAAGATCACACAGCTAGTCTGTAATCACGAGGGCAAGCTGGGGCGGGGAGGCACTCTAGCATGTGCCACAGTGGCCCTCCAAACCCAGTCCCAACTAGCAGATACACTACTTCCTCCCTTTGCCTCCCTGGGAGGCGATATGGCTCAGGCAGCAATGACAACAGAGGAGGAGCAGGCAGTGCCTTGCTATGCTGTTCCAGAGGCAAAGACGCCAATCCCAGCCTACGTATTCCCAGAGATGCGTTTTCTGATGCCTCCTCTGTGACCTTCCTAGTTGGAGCCCTGACTCAGAGACACCTGTCAGCTGGCCTCCTCTGCTCTCTCTTCTGGGATGGGGACAGCATTAAGACAGTCACCCACAGAGCATCTGCAGTGCTAGCCCTGCCTGCTGCCTGAGCCCAAGCGAGAGGAACGTGTGTGTGTGCCTATGGTGGGGGCATCCCTGCACGCCTGGGCATGGCACGGGAGCAGGAAAACCACAGGAGCTGTCCTCACAAATGGGCCTCGAGGGACAGGAAATGGAAGTAAGGCTTCTTGGACGATCCTGGCTCAGCCCTCTGAGCTCCCCACTGGCCACCTCTCACCCTCGGCTCTGACTCACTCCCTTCTCGAAGCCTAATCTCTTGGCCAGCCTGTCCTGCAAAATCAAAACTGCTTGCATTTACCATAAGAAATAAAAACAGCACCTTACAAAGCACTCTGTCTTTCTGGTGCCCATTAGACCTCCTTCTAGAATAAACTTGTCCTTTTCTTCTGTCATTTTTCCTAATTCTCATTATCATCAATTTACTTCTTGGCACAATCATTCCAGGCTCCTGCTCACCCTCTCATCCCCTTAGAGTGGCCACAGGCACACCCCATTCTAATCCTAATTGACCACCGCTTTCTTCCCCACGGCCTGCCTCTGTGCCTTCCCAGCCTGATCACCGTGCCCTGGCTGGGCCTTGTGTGGACAACCTACAGGCAGTTCCTGCAGAGGAGGCTCAGTGGGGAGGGAAGTTCACCTGAGCAGTCAGTGTGCAGCTTCATTAGGCAGCACTGTCCCTCCACTTTGGTGGTGTTTCTGTGAAGGGGGCTTCAACCAGGCTGGCCAAGGTTGGACAGTGTGGGCAAGGGTGTGAGTGCGTGTGCGTGTGTGTGTGTGTATGTGTGTAGGGTCTCACCTGTTTCCACAGCTCCCATGGATCTAGCAGGAGCACCATGGAACCGCGGAACAAGTTTCCACACCCCTGGTGCCCTCCCCAGAAATAGTCTAGCTCCCTGGTGCAGTGGGATTCTTTCAGCTTAAAGCCCTGAAGACGCTCTGGGTAAAGGGAAATCTGGGAGATGTGAGTGGGCCTGGAGCTTATTTGCAAGACTATGGTAGAGGGAACCTGGCATCTCACCCATCTTCAGGAAAGTGGGATCCCTGCTCATTCAGGGCTGTGGGCCTCAAGAGAGCAGCATATCAGCTCCTTGCTTGAATGAAGCTGCCACTGGCAATCACCCTCACTTTACACCTGAGGCAGCTGAGGCCCAGACTGGTTGATGACCTGACTGTGATTCCCCAGGTCATAGAGCTGGATGGTGCAGGGGCCACCTCTCACGTCTGTAACTGCCCAACATTGTTTAAGCTTTTCCTGTATCTGCAGGGTCTCCTGTGGTATGAGGCCTGCCTCTTCGAGCTAGAAGTCAGAACTCGTTCTCCCAGTCGTGTGCTGCTAGGGCACAGGTATATCACCTAGGCTCTGCCATTTAGACTCCCTGGCAAATGGTTTTGACTGGAAAGGGAGCAGCCCGAGGAGGCGAGTGGGCTGAGGGACTCGATCTGCTCAGATCGCCCAGCAGCCTGGCTAGTGCAGCAGCATAGAGCACAGGGCCAACTGGCAGCACCAGGAGGCTAGAGCGGCCCTGGGAGTGTGGCTGCGTGTTGTTCCTGGCTGTGTGTCCCGACCCGTGTCTCTTTGGTCCTCCTAGAGATTCTGGAAGCTCACGATATCCCTCAACAAATTGGTTTTCTGCTTAAACTAGCCAGAGTGGATTCTGTTGTTTGCAACTGAAATTCTGACAGGTGAATACAATAACATGGCTTTCAAAAATTGACCAGAGCTATTCTCATCACATACATAGTCTGTATTTAGGACCCGCAAAGCTTCCTACGGAGGGATGAGGCTGAAGTACCATTGGGACGTAACTGGTCAGGGGATGAGAGCGCCACATCACACACTGGTTACGAAAATAGGCTCTGGGCTCCGCGTAACCTGAGTCTGAGACCTCATTCTGCAACCTGCATGCTGTGTGACCTCAGGTAAGCTAATTAACCTTTCTGAGTCTCACTGCCTTCATATGTATGTGATGAGATAGTAGTATGTGCTCCCTTGGGCTGCTGAAATGATAAAATAATGAAACCCACATGAAGAGTTTTTGCCTGCTGTCCACACAATTATCAGGTACTCATTTAGATGGACAGGATTTTGTTTCTTCTTCCTTCTCTCCATACTGGTTCTGGTCCCTCTCAAGGCACTAAGCACCTCCCAGCACAGACAGACTTGCCTGAGGCTCCCTCACCTCCAGCCTGGAAGCGACCTGACACAGAGTCTACATCCTTTCCATACCAGAAACACAGCCCGTGCCTGGTAACTGGGGATGTGAACTGGATTTCACTTGAGCTTGAGCAGCTAAGGCCTCAGATGCGGTCTAGTCCCACCCTCCCCTTGCCATCCTCTTGGGCTCCAGACCCATCCCTCTGCCCCTACCCCTGCTAGAATCCTGGTTCAGGGAGACCATGGTTAGCCCTTGCCTCCTGAGACTGACAGCTGGGCCTGAGGCTGAGACCCAGGTCTCTCAGGGGGTTTGTTTAAGGAAAAGCATTAGGTAAGTGGAGACATGGCTCCATACTTAGAATTAATTTTTACCAAAACCAAAAAAGAAGTCTGAGACATAGTCCACAGATGAGCCCCTCTGGGAGGCCATAAAAAAGACCCTGGTCTTCTATGAGTGACATCGCCAGACATAGGGATCTGGAGTACTAACCGGCACTGTTCTTTATTGTACCCACAAGTTTTGCATAATATGCCAAAATGCTTTGGGCAGCCTGAGGCCCAAGTACATGAGAGGGTGGTCTATGTGTCTATGTCACGTGTCTGTCCTAATCGCCTAATCACGATCGTGACTTCAAGGCCTCCTTCAAAGACCCATGACCTGGCAATTTGAGTCTGAAGGTACCAGGTTCTTGCTTTCTTGATGAAGTCTGTTTTCCAGTCCTAAAATAATTTAGGATCCAGGAATTAATAGGTTCTGACTTAAGCAGGCCTTAGTAAGCTGGACGGACAGACCTGGATGGTCTCTGAGGCTCTTCCTGACCTGTGTAGAATTCCTCAGCTGACTGCTGGGGCAGGATTAGTGTTGTCACTTGCAGGCTCATTGGCTAGCGCTGCCCCCACGTGGTGAGTGACATCTGTCAGCCCTGGGCCCTGGTTTCATGCTCCAGAAACTTGAGCTCCCATTATCACTCGCCAGCTGGTTTCATGTAAGTTAATTTCAACAAAACAAAAGGCTCTCCTTGGCCTTTTGAGGGCTGAGTTACCCCTGCTTGATCTTTGGAGTGGCCAGATATCCTTGATGATGTACACAGATCAGGCTGGCCCCAGCAATGGATAATCTGGGCTCCAACTGAGCTCAGAATGGCATGACTTGGAGGGCCTTCAGCCACAGGGCAATCAGTTTCCAAATGGAGCTGGCTCTGCTGATGTCCATGGCAGACATCACTAATCAATCACTAAGCCTCAGAGTCCTTATCAAGATGGGTAGCCACTACCAATCAATCCAAGTCGGCCTCCTCACTGCCACTTACTTAGAAATTTCTCACTGGAATATTCAATGATTCTTAAGAAATATGTTACTCTTGGGCAGGCAATTTTTTTCTACATTCCTCTCATTTCTTCAATGCCCTTTTTTTCTGTTTCCCTTCTCTGCCATTTTCCCTTATCCACCAAAACCTCTGGGGGAGGGATAAGGGTACATGGTGGGCTGCAGTGTGTTTACTGTCTGAAGCTCCCATCACAACCCCCAGACTACCCACCCCCAATCAGTGACCAAAACTCAGGCTGTCAAGGACCCTGGCCCAAAGAGGAGTCCTAATGGGGCAGCTGATGACCCAGAGGCCCCATAGGGCCTCTATCAGTACTCACCGAGCAGCCCCGGGTTGGGGAACCTCCAGGAGTCGTTGTATGAGGGATACTGAGGGTGGCTGTAGGGGCTCCCGGAAAACTCACTCCCTGTATGTGGTGGGTGGGGAGAGAAACAGGAACCAAATGTCAAATCAGGTTTGGAAAATGCCAATGGCATGTGCCTCTTACGTAAACGGCAGGTATTTTTTGTAACCAATAAAGGCAAGTCTGGTCCACATCCTGACTCAGTGGACAACTATCATTGGTATTGTATTTCCCCCTATAACATTTTTCTCAGCAGTGGGAGTACATACTGGCCTCTAACATGTGTACTGTGAAACTACTATGAGCCAGGTGTTCCCTGGGGTTCTTGGACCATTTTACAGGTGAAAGGGTCTCTCACAAAATGACTTTGACCCAAGTTCAAAGCTCCAGGCTGCCTGGTTCTCAGCCCTGACTGAGGCACTCCAGTGCCCCAGTGTGGATTCGATTTCACTTCCCATGTGTTTCCCGAGTGGCTCTGAACTGAGAAGCCAAAGGTGACCTCAACTGTAGTCTGGCCCTCTGTGTGGTAAACCTAGACGTGGCTGCTCCTTGGGCCTTGGTCTAATGGGGAGGATGAGACACAAACTCAGACCCAAAGCCAGGAGAAGGTAGATGGCACTTGACGGAGATGAAGGGACAAGCCAGACGGCTGGGGAGCACAGAAGGGGGAGTGGGTGGGGGCCTTGCAGGCACTGGAAGGGTGTGCTCAGGCAGGAACTACAAGCTGGGCGG